TACACACCTCCCTCAGCACACATCTGAACTGCATCCCTGCAGAGCCCCGTACCCCTGCTTTCAGAGCCCGCAACATTCATCGCAAGGGTCCAGGCTGGGCATGACTCCAGGACTGGGCTGGGTTTCCTTCACTGGCATCCCCTCCCTCTACATGGGCTTAGTTGAGAGAAAATAATGGGTGAATATCTAAGCAACGCAGTGTGCACAAATGCCCAAAAGCAACGCGCAGCGTTAGAAAGTGTCTCGACCTAGGAGGAATTGGGAAATCTATGAGCTCAGACAGGTCACTTAATGCCTTTATTCCTCACTTTCCTCTTCTATACAATGAGGAACCTGCCTGGCCGTAGTTCTACTGAAATGGTTTTAAGATTGTCTTGGTAGAAATATTAAACATAGGGGCTGTTTTATTAAAACACATTCATTCTGGATGAACCCAGCAACAAGAATGAATGAAAGAACTCCCAAGGTTTTATTCACAGATGTTCATTCACTTCCCCCATAATACACACAGGGAGCTCACACTACAACTGTCCAGGCAAGCCCTTTCTTCCCCCAGCACTCACAGAGAGCCATCTGTCCAGTTCCAGGTGGAACTGTCTCACGCCCATCTTCCTGGCGCAGAATCAATGAGGCTTCCCCAGCCTCTCCTCCTCCTGGGGTTTCCATGGGAATCCTCCCACGTGTGGCGGATCCAGGGGCCCCCAAGGCAGAAGCTCAGCTGTCATCCAGCAAAGAGAGCAGGGGAGGGGATGAAGTTTGCTGGGCGGTAACCAGGCCGGGGTGCTCTGCAAGGTCATTTGAAAGGGATACGGCTCTGAGTCAGTGAGGCCATGTGCAGCCCTGGTGAGCCTGGTCACTGTGCACCTGCCTCTATGCCCAGAGGGCTGCCCTGGGCACATGTGAGTTGTTCTTCAGGACAGCTGGTCTCCAAGTGACCCAGAATAGCTTGGTCTGGGGCAAAGCGTGACAGGAAGGAGGGGCTGCTTAATGGGACCCTCTAGGGGAATCGTCTATTATGACAACACAATAATCTTCACGTCCAACCTCATTTATCTCCCAAGATGAATCTTGCCTATTCGGCATAACTGATTGTCTGAAAATCAGGGTGTCTGAAAGAAAATTAAAACACTTGAAACCTCGGGGTTAGTCAAGGGGACTATAACAGGGACCTGCTGGGATTTCTGGCTGACACCCTGCCCCCCCATCCTCTCTCTACTGAGTCCTCGCCTGGCTGTTGAATCTCACAGATGTCTCCGGCATCACATGCTGTTCCTCGCTAGCAGAGCCACTGCCCTGCCGGCCTTTTCCTGTGTCCTAGGCCGGTGCACCACCCGTGCCGGCGACCTGGGCTGCACTAAGAAAAGCCTTTCTGACCGCAGAAAGAATATCCACCCTACACCTCCTGTGTATACCTTTCAAATGGGTATCTAGTTGTAAAAGCAATATTTGAGGCAAAAATCACATGCAATTAACACTGCCCTGGAAGCCTTCCGAAGGTCCACAAAGTTCAAGACAACTGAGTTGGAGCAGACCTTTCTCTTTCCCAAAGTGAGAGCCAGACAGCTCTTCCCCACGGCCTCAGAACAGATAGATTCCTATTACTGAGCAGCAGGAGAAAAGCCATTTAGCTTATGTAGGGATGATATTTTATTTAAAATGTGTTGCTGAATTTTAAATCTTTTATGATTGATCTTTTTTTTAACCAAATACATACGGTCCTGTTCTCATAAGTATACACATTACGCACACCTTTAAAAAAAAAGGCTACCAAGAGAGACTTCTGATAATCCAGACCTCAGCCCCAGCAGCCTCTTGATTTTCTACATGGAGCAGCTTGTTTGAGCTGGGGGGGCTGCCTGATACCTTTTGTTCCTGTACCGGCAGAGAAAGAACCTTCCAAGAGCTTGGGTGTATGACAACTGGCCAGGCAACTTAGAAAAAACTTAAGTCACTGTAGCATGATGAGTTGTATTGGATCTTTTCCCAAAAATACAAGGACTCTGTGCTAGCCTGGACCTTGGCTGCTTCTGGAATAGGAATGGAGCTCCCCAAAGATAGGATCAGTTGAGTGATGAGAACGTTCTAGTCCTATGAGAAACCAAGGAGAAAAGTACTGAAGGTGGAGCGACCATTGGGTGGATAATTCGAGTGCTGGAGCAAAACGAAGAAGGCCAGGGGAGTGACAGAGGCAAACGGTGAGAAGGGGTGAAGGGGTGGAGCAGTCTGGATTTTACTCCTGGCAGCACTGAGGAGGATCTAAACCAGGGAAAAATTTGTTCTATTTACATTTTTAAAAGATGTTAATCTGGTGTGTGATAAACTGAATCTTATAGCTTTAGCCTACAGTTCTCTTATTTAGTGACATAGGGGATCTTGTCATAAGTTTTGGTGCTATTCCTGCCTCCCTGTCTGTCTGTCTGTCTGTCTGTTTTTGAATTTTTTTTAAATCTTTTTGAGACAGGGTCTCACTATGCAGTTCAGGCTGGCCTTGAGCTTACTTTGTAACCCAGGCTGGTTTCAAACTAGCAATGATCCTCTTGCTTTAGTCTCCTGAGTGCTGGGATTACAGGCGTGTGCACCACCATGCCCAGCTCTCTCTGTGTCTGTACTGAGGTTTGAACCCAGGACCTTCTCACTGAGCTACATGCCCAACCTTTAAAAAAAATTTTTTTTTTTTTT